CCCCCTGTCCCCGAGGAGAGTCAGTTGCACTGTGCATCACGCTCCTTCGCCCTGTGCATCACGGCAACGCTGGTGGTGGATGGAAGGCCGAACTCTTTTCTGCTCCGATCTCAGCACCGTGGGAAGGGGCGAGGGAGCAAAGGCAATTGCGCCATCCAACAGCTTCTCTGGCTGACGACCAACTGATCCAATTCGGTTCCTTGCGCACTCGCCGTTTTCGCACTCGCTGGAAGTAGCTGGGTTGGACCCTCCCACTCATCAAGACTTGGCGTTGACCATCAAGACTTGGCATTGACTCGTTTGGAAAGAATCCAGTTAAACCACCGTTTGGACCGAGGACGGGAACCCTACGCAGCGCTTGGAACCTCCGCCATGTGGCTCGACTCTCCAATTCAGCTGATCATCAACGGTTCGCTACAAATCCAGGGCTACAGTGGCTACAGGATAAAGTTCAAAACATGGTCTCCACATGCAATGCACATGGTCCATATGCAGAAGTTCACACTTGGTGTGGTTGCTATCCTGTAATCCTCTTCTATGAACTATACACAGGGCCCACCCGAGTCGACAATCGTGTCTACCCCTTTTGGGTGGTCAACAGCCGTTCCTCAGGCGCTTGTGAGCCAAGCGCGTGTGATCATCGCCCTGACCTCCGTCCAGTTCTGCCCGCTCCCGTGGTGCAGTTCTGGGAGCGAGCCCAATTGAGTGAAAGGTGAAACGCGCCAAACTGTGGATGCCATGTTCACGTTGCATGTCCATGTGAAGAAGTGTCCAAGAGGTCGGGTTGGCCACTGGCATGCTTGGCCACCGTTCTGCTGGTGAGAGGCGATCTAGAAACAGGTCAACAAACAACCAGAAAGAATTGGAAGGCCAAGCTCTTTCCCCAATTCTTGGGATACCGGGGAAGGAAACCACATAAATAGAGATGCCGTCTCACCATAGCACAGAGACTGCCCTGTCCTACACTGCATCATGTTCATCATTGACCTGAGTCTCATTGCCCCCTCTGCTCTGCCCCACAGTGCCACTGCAGCTCATCCAGTTCCTGGCTTGCACCACCAATCTAGTTCCCTAGGTTCATGCACCCCCAACCGCGGCCAAGGGGATATATGCACGCGTTTCTGCGACGCGAGTCTCACATGCCCGGCATCGATTGAACATGCTGTTGCTGCTTAGCACTTCTTCTCAGCATCGGACGGATTGAACTGGACCAGCATCAAAGGGGCTGGTCGGTACAATTGCTGCCTCCAAGACTGCAAGATGTTCAAAAGAAAACCCTTCTGATTCTGGTCTCCGTTTTCGATGTTCTGAGTGTCCCTCTTTGTGAAGCTCCTAAATGATCCAAAATGGAATGGGGAGTTACATAAGTCTCAGAATCTTTCCGAAGCCTCCAAGCATCTTGGGTAAGAAGCAGCCTGCTGCACATGTAAAGTTCACAGAACGCCTGCCAAGCTTGACTGAAGGAGCCGTAGCCAGCTTTGAAGAGCTCCCCCGACCTTGCTTCGGGAGCTGCTACATCCAATCTTGGTCACGGAAGCCAGTCGAGCCCAGTGGTAGTAAACTTAGCAAACTACTCAGAAGTAGCTCGGTTGAAACGTCATTTTGAACGAAAATGCTGAAAAACAGCAGGCGCGCAGCTTGCGCCCGTTCGAGTCAGGCCTCTTCTCACATCTGGCCAAGCCAAGTCTGGCAGCCGGGCGACCTCAAATACTTCAATATCCCAATGTCCAAGTCGACACCATCCAGGCCTGGCGTGGAGCTCAAAGCGAAGCGATGAGAGTTGGTGCTAGTTAGACTCGAGCTCCTGTTCCAGTGACCCACCATTCATGCACTTGTGTTGTTTGATTTTTCCGGTACAGACTAGCAAAAGGATTTTCCATGTCAGTCTGAAGGGTACAAGTCATTCGCCGAGTTGACGAAACTTAAGAAGGGTCAACGGTCACTTCTTCTGCTGCAAAGCGCAGTCCACAAAGTGGCCAGCCGAGAAGGAGCATGGTTCTCTCGCTGCCTGTGAGATCTTCGGAAAAGCCTGGCCTGGGCACCACGGCAGGGTGACACTCCAAGAAATGAATATGCAGAAATCTCATGTGTGGCTCTTTTTGTTTCTGCATCTCTGAAAGTCTGACGTCTGTCTGTGGCCGGTTCCGGACACTCACGCCCATTAAATTACGGCGCGTAACTCGCTCGTTCATCTGAGGCCCTTCACTTGACAGCACTCGAACCCAAGGACTCGGAATCGGCCTCGGTCACAGCTGTGAGAAGAAACAGACACAGCCGGTCGACCGGTTAGTCTACGGAGTGACTCAGACGGGGTGGCTCAGAGGTGAGAGGAGGGCACCGGCACCCCGTTCGGCCCCGTTCGAGGTCTTTCAGATCAGGGGCCAACCACAGAGCTTGGGGGTCACCTATCAACCAGTCTACTCCCCACAGGGTTGTCGGTGTGGGGAAGCATGGCCTCCATCCGGAGCGCTGGCTATGGGCGGCGAGACCATGTGCACCCACTGCCCTGTTATGGCAGGGGGAGCCCTGCCAAACCGTCGGGTCAAACGGCACCCGTCGCTCGCGTGTGGTCGGGTTCACCCTCCACCCTCCATTGGCCGCAATGGACCCGGCAGCTCCAACCCCCGGCCTCCCCAGGCCGTCCACTTTCCAGCATTGGACCTTGTGTTGAGCGAGTGATCAACCGGCAGTGATCAACGTGGGTCGATTCCGAACATCGATGGGTCCTTTCAGTCTCTCATTGTCATGTTGTCCAGGTCGATGTTTGATGTGGAGTGATGCCTCCTTTTGAATACAAAAAAGATAGACAAAAAGATTCGGAAATCCAATCAGAGTCTTGGGCGCCAATGTGCGTTGACTGCCCTTGCTTAGTAGTTTTGACAGACCAGTGGGTACGCCATGAATGAACCCAGACATAACTGAGGCTCGGAGTGTGGAACAACACACCATGTGTAATTTACAGGTGGGCGTCTTGAGATCTTCAATCCCCTGGATGGGGTATTGGTCATAAACAAAGCACTCGAAATGAGGAACCTAGAGGCTAGAGGGGGCCTCTAGTAGGTTCAATAAGTTTGCTTTCTGTTGGGAGTGTTGGGGTTGACTACACTCCCTGGAACTAACATGGAAGTGGAGAATGGCCCCGAGAGGAAGGCCATGAAATCCACAACAAACAGGTGGTTTTCCACTTCCATGTTAGTTCCAGGCAACGTATGTTGACTCATGACACTGCCATTGGGTGGATGAAAGGGAATCGTTTCAGGGAAGAAGCCGAAGGCTCGCTCCTTTGCGAAAGCGCACTCCCGGCACTCGCATAGCTTCCCCAACGTCATAGCTTTCCAACACCAACTTCTCCCCACAACTCAAATGCTTTCCAACTCAAAGTCCTTACACACATCCCCATCTCCAACAGCAACCCCGAGTGGCTGTGGACGGTGTCCAACCACCTCGCGGGTGGGGCGGTCTAGCGGGTGCTTTTCATGAGGGAATACCCCCAATCAACGAAGGGTTCTGTATCAATGATGATTGTACTCTTTCTTCCCTGCAAAGTGGTTGTCCTGATAAGAGTGAAGCTCATCTTCTTTGCATATAATTCTACGGGGCCGCTACCCATAAGTTCCTCCAATTGCTTCAATCAATGGAACCCTCAAGACTTCCCGAAGACCCTCCGAATTCGTCGCCCCCGTGTCGCCCCTCGCGGCACCAGGCGAACTGCTCCATCGGATGGAAACTTACACCACACGCAGTTCATAACCACTTCTGCACCATTTGAGAATTGAAGGCCCCTCTTCTGTCAACAAGAGCGCATCCTTGATCATCTCAATGTGGTTGGAAACTGTCTTCGATTTTCCTTCAGAGTCTTCCACCCTTCATTTCCAGCAGCACCCCCGGATGGGTGTTCTATGCGCCTTGCAGGACTATCCGGCAGAATGTCCTCCTGCAAAGAAATCTCGGCAGATCAAGAAGTCTCCAGGTGGAGCTTGACCCTCATGTCAGATGAAAGCAATGCATCAAAATGGGATTCACCACGAGAAAAAACGCGCCCATAAATTTGAGGGGAAAATAGAACCGTCTGTAAAATCAACGAACCAAACAAATCTGGCCAGTTCCTCCCATTCTGTGTCCCCCCGTTCCGGTGTGGGATTTGGATTCAGCTGACTGCTACGACTCCCGAGAAAGAAGTCTCCTCGCGATCTCCACCGACCTTTGCCAGAGGCTGGTCGTTCTTCGTCGACTGGCACAGGTGAGCAATTTAAGCATGGACACGGGCTATACAAACAAAGTAACCGGTGAATAGCTATTCATGTCAATGTATTTGTATGCCAGAGGAAAGACTTGGAAAACGTTGACTTCACTGTTACTTCACTTCGCGTTGGCTTTGGCAGTTTACGTCGCAACACCTTCGCTGAAAAAAGGGAAAGATCTGCCGTGTCCACAGATGTGGTCAGCAAAATCGCTTGGCGACCGTTCAGATTTCCAATGGATTGGTCAGTCGTAGCGTGGCACTCCTGGCACTCCCTGCCCGGCCGTGCCCGGCCTCTACAACACCATGGTAGAGCGGACACAAGCATTTGTCGAAAGCCTCAAACACTTTTGCAAATCTGTTAAGCGTTTTGTCGAGAATCGGGAGAGCTGCAACCCCGCAGAGAGTTGCAGGGCACGAATCGTGCCTTTCGACCAGTCTTTGTCTTGATTCAAATTCTGGTGTGTGGCCTATTTGGGGGAACACCCACGGTCAGCAATGCTCGAAAAAAGCACCGCGGCTTTTTCTGCATCTGGCGCAGCAAGGGGCATCGATACAGAATGCGGCTGAGGACCTCACATCATTCGTCCAAGTTGTGAAATCTGCAAAGAATGAATGTTTAGCTGCTAGCTCATTAAAGGATTGGGAAGCGGTTTGGACATCCCTTAGCAGGAGGCACGAAACTCGGTGATTTGCACTACTTTTGGGTTTCCTGATGTGGTCACAGATCACCTAACCAAGGGACTCAACAAATTTGGCTTCAAATCCGTGACTCCGAACTCTTCTCGCTCGCCGAAGCTGGGTCACCAGGTCGCCTAAGGCCGGCCCCAGGCGCTTGTTCCGAAGCCTTTGGCATCTCCCAGAAGCCCATGATCAAGTGACTGAGCTTCGGGAAGCCTCCAGAGGGAGAAGACGATGCGATGTGAATCAAGAAGAAACTATACCCCTTATTATTCCTGTTTTTAGGGATGACCCCCCCATTTCACAGAGATACAAGTCAAAGTAAAGGAGTGACCCAGATCGTTCGCACCAAAAAGATCGTCGAGTCTTCTCCGATTCTTCTTTCGGGTCGCCCAATTGACTACCTCTGGCTTCCTTCAGGAGTGATGGTGGCCAATTGACTACCAGTCGAGACTTCCAACCCTGGCTGGTCGCTCGTCGATCGTTTCGCCGTGCCTTCATCGCCCACGCCCTGCAAGAGAGCTGCCAGTGCCGGTGCTTGAGCCAGAGCCTGTCAACGAACCAGGGAAGAAGCCAAGTCACCGAAGCCGAGAAACTGCTCCTAAGGAACCCGACAATCAAAGCCGAGGATGTTGGAGGAAGGCTTGGAAAAGGATTTCCTTATATAGAAGAGAAAGGTTGAGCTGGGCAGTTGGAAGTGTTTCTTTTGCATCTTGGTCTAACAGAAAGGATGTGCTGATGGAGATCTGGAGATCTAGCAAAAATCCGTGAACCATGTCTGCGACAGGGCTGGTTTGCCAACGAGTCATCGCTCCCATATTTGATGATTCCATGACGACTCAGAGCGCGCACTCTCCGAGCCTGATTGCCCTGCAGGTCCAACGCTTGCAAACCGTGACATCGCCTGAATTCATTCAGTTCACTTGGCATGTGTAGAATGAAGCACACCTCATCTCAAGTGTCATGCTTGCCAGCACACAAAAGTGGTATTGTTTAACCCGACATCGTCATATAGGGTATATATTTAGACCGGGGCACCTATGTCATATCTATGTGCGTCGACGCCTACAGATCCGTCAGCTCAGGCCTCATCAGCTCTCCCAAGGCCACCGCGGCGTCAGCGTCCAAGCCACAGTTCTTCAGGCTCAGTTCTTTCACAGGAATGTCGAACTCGCTGCCTGCGAAAGGTTTCGATTTCGGATCCAAAAATCGGTCCGGGAAGATGCATGCCCAAGAGACGAATCGTCTCCAAGTATCAAATGAGGCTATTTAGAAAAGAAATGTCAGAGAAGAATACGGTCAACGGAGGGTCAACGGTGGAGACGGTCAGTCGGTGGAGGCGGCAGGCTTGGTGAAAACTTGGAGAACTGGTGCCAATCAGACATTGAAAAAGAAAAAACAACAAAAACATAGGTTGAAGCTGCTGTAGTGAAGTGTAGCTTTGGACCCATTCCGAACAAACCAGCTCGGACCGTGACTCCAAAGACCACCAAAATCGTGGGCCCGTTGACACCCGTTGAGCACCTCGAGCCCAACTCTGAAGGAGATCCCGCAACCCTGCAGCACTGCAGAGCTTTCGGTTCCCCGCCAGGCTGAGGGACTCGAGCTGCACGCACTGCCGCAGGAAACGGCCTGCGAATGGAAGGACCGTCCGGCAGCTTCAGCCGAAGAGCACCCTCCAACAGCCGGAAGTGGACCACCCCCACTCCCCGTTTCTTTCTGAAAAAATCCTCTTCCAAGCGGCCATGGTCCTCTTCCGCAGGAGGGAAGGTAACCCAAAACCATGCGCTCTTGGATTGTTTTCTGTGTGCTCTCCTTGCATATGATGGTTCCAGTTGATCTGAGAAAGACCTTGCACCCGCGCAAAAAAAAGACCTTTCGAAAGCCCAAAGCCAGTAGTAGGTCAGCGGATCGATCAATGTCTCGACCCCTGCATCCGGACCTTCACGGCAGCGGACCCTGCGGTTTCAGCTGCCGTCACGCGTCACGAGGGCGGGACGGCGCGCGTCACGACGAGATCGCCGTGGGGGGTCGGCAGGTCACCTGAAACACCTCAATCCACAAGATCGACCGGTGTTGGACATACCGGGGACAAGCTTTTCCCCTCCACAACCCAGGACACATGGATGCTACATGGACGTTGGACGACCCCCTTGGGGTGAACACCAGGCAACCCACGGGGCCCGGAACCCGCGCCAAGCGGCCCAGGGGAGCTGCAGCAGACTCGGGGACACCACAACCACCGAAGAGCAGCGTCCTGTGTTTTGCGACGCGCCGGACGAGTGGCCTCTCTCAAGTGGCCAAGTTGGCACCAGACATATTGAGCATAGTGAGATCATCAGCAAAAGTGTGGGGATCCTGCTTTGTAGGTTCATCAACTTCACACAAGAATCATGCTGCTTTCAAGGAGGGTTGAATGGGGGCGAATTCAACAGACACGCTGACATAGCCTGTCCTCAGCGGCAAGCGATGCTCCCTGAGACCCTTCAGAATGCCCTCCAAACCTGCTGGTGTACAAAGCTGCGCATTGCCTGCCAGCTGACGGTTTACATTCCCAGCTGTTTGGGTTCCAATGAGTTAGATTCTATTGTTGCTGTATTTGGGAAACCACTCTCCCAAATACGACAGCCCCGGCTTGAATGAATAAGACCCCGGCAGGCACGCCTTCCAAACGAAGCTCCTCCAAGCGAGAGCAATATCGCAGGAAGACGCCCAAAGCCATCCCTTGTTGCGGAGCCACCGCCCGGGCACCACCTGTGCCGGTTCGTCGGTGCTTGCGGTTCGTCGGTGGCACCAAGTGACCTTTTGGAGTCAAATTGGAGTCAAAGCTGAAGAACGGTCAAAAGAAAAAGCGAGTCAGCTAATCAAATCCAAGCTGACTTGATGCAGCTACAATTTCTAGGTCCTGCAAGTCAGGCAGTGAAGAGTACTTGCTGAGTACTGCGGGGTGGCCACCCGAAAGGGATCGGCTGTTCACATGAGAAGCTCCAGTTCGGATCCTCGCCTGGAGGCAGATGCTGATAGCTGAGATCCAGCTTCAGGATCCTCAGGGCACAAATCAGGAAATGTCACATGAAGGAACATGAAGGAATCATTCTGGAGGAAATTGCAGGATTGTCCAAGAAGTCACACCCTGATTACACCCTGCATCTGTGACTTCTGAATTGTCAGGGCTACTTGGTGAATCAGAAACATCTTGGTTTGGGCATGCCATCTGCAAATGTGACTGGAAGGCCAACACTCATCATCGGGTTTGGTGGTCTCTAAGCCTTGACTTCTAGCTTAGGATGATAATCCCGTTCGCAAAATCCGTAGTACTGTTTGCTTCAGCGCCCTCTGTTTTCAGCAAAGGCTTCAGCCACACAGGCTTCAACTCCCTTAAAGCCGAACACTGTCGGTCAACGGCTCAATGACGAAACCGCTTGCCCAACAACTCGCCACCCCTTCGTTCGTTGTCCAAGCTGCTCGCTAGCGCGGCCCGTTCCGCTCGCTGGCCGCGCCTGCAACAGCTCCACGGCGAAGCGAAGCTCCTGGCGGACGTGGCCGCCAGAGCGAAGGATAAAGATTTAATCCCGGTTGAAGCACGTCTTGAAGATGACACGCTGGTTGACTAAAATCAAGAGCCCGTGTGACCGACATTGCTGTGTGAGAGAGTGGGGGCCTTCTGACCCAAGAGGTATGCAACTACCAAACAAAAATACCCTCAACAAAGAAGGTTCCGCCCGTTTTCTTTTGAAGACTGTGGAGTAGACTGCGGCTAGCCGCCACAAACTCCCGAAGAAATGGGTCGTCTGACTGTTGTGCTGGGCAAATGTCAAGTAGGCTGAGTGGTGTGACCGGTAAAAAGCAATGGTGTGGCATGTCAGACCAATGAACAAGCTGCTTTCCTATCAGGTTCTCAGCTGTTGCAAACAAATCCTCCAGCAGCTTAAGGTCTTATATTTGTTGCACTCCCTGAAAGAAATCATGGCTACTACGTGAATCAAATGTCTAGATTAGATGAACCGCAGCATCTGATGGAACAAAGCCGATGAACTCGCGAAGACTGGGCATGTTGGATGTCTTCCAATAGGGAGACTCCAAACCACTCTTCCGATTCGGAACGTTTTCAAGCCAACAAACTGGACCAGCAAAAGTCCCAAAAATCAACGTGGGTGCCAATGTGGTGCCTCAAAGATTGAATCCATCCAACTCCTGCGTTTGGTCTGTGACTTGAACCCAAATCTCTTTTGAAACCCGGACAGTCATTCGTTGCTGCAACCCGAAAAAGAGTCGGGGACTGCCCACATACATGCGTACCCACATACGTACCGCAGCTAGGCTATGCTTCGTTCGCTCTGACCCCGGTTCCACGGAGCTCCTCGAGTCCGAAGCCGGACCGCAGCAGGTCCCCCCGCGCGGTGCGCCGCAGCCGCTGGCACTGCTGGGCCACGAGGGCCCGAAGCCCGGGGCGGCGGTGGACCTGGAACGGACGCGATGGACGACCGAGGCGATCCGAGAAGGGCCCCGGACGTGGCAGCGGGAAAAAGGACCAATCTGGAATGACTTCAGACAGCCAAAAAGAAACACGGTCATTCACCGACAGACAGGGTGAATGAACGTGGCACATTTTGGTCACAGCAGTGATTGGCAACAGTGACATGGCGTGAAAACATCGTTGTCCTGACCAAAAAGGACGCGCGGTATAAGCGTTGTTCAGTGGGAACGAGGCTTATTACGAAGGGCTTTTTGGTGGTTAAAAAGCACTTCGATGTCAAAGCTGAGCACACGAAAAACGCAAAATACATACTCTTTTTTACTTTGTTGCTGTTATTGTTACTCAATTTCAATCATAATCAACATGCATCCAAAAATCAAAGGAGGACAAATACCAAGGCACGAAATCGGCACACGCGGAGTTGACACAGAACGGGGATGCATTGACACACGACACACAGCCATTGTTGGAAGACCGAGGTCACGGCCCACTCAGCCCAGTCGGCCCAGTCGGTTTGCATCATGCGCAGGTGGGGAAACGGCACTTTCTCCGAGTCTTTGGTTTGCACACGCTGATCAAAGGATGTCATTTCTGCCAGTTCAATTTTTGGACGGTGCGTATTCTTTTTGTCGAATTTCGGGAGATGTCAATATGACTGCCATGAAATGGTGCGGATATCTTAGACTTCCGCATGTATATGTGTGTTGCACTTGTGCCGGCTCTTTTCGACGAGGCAAAATAGGATGCGAGGCTGTCCCAAAAAGTATGCGGCCCTAAGCCCAGTTTCTACCAACTCGATCCAGATGTTGTGCACCTATAAAATTGGGGTACACTCCCTGGAACTAACATGGAAGTGGATGGCCTGGCCCCGAAAGGAAGACCATGAAATCCACTACAAGCTGGTGGTGCCATCCACGTAACTCTGTGAACTCCAGGGAGAACTTGCGGTTTTGCCCTGCCCCGGGTCCAGCCTGCTGCAACAGTCGCGACCCCTCGCAACTCCAGCGGCAGGCCAGCTGCAGCGCGCGCCAGTCCAGCGGGTCGGACAGCCAAAGCCGCAGCTGCTGGCGGAAGGGCGGCAACCTGCTTCGATCGCGAAAGGAGCAGGTGAACCTCCAAACGAATGGACTCATGGACTCCCCGAAGAAACCCGGGTCGGTTCGACCTCTCCCTATGGTATGCACGGCGCATGTCGTCCGTTCGATCCGGGTGACCTAACCAAAGGTACGAACAGAGAATGAACCACGCGGTATCTCGAGAAGTAACGGCAGCAACTAATTTACCCAGACCGCGCAACTAAAAAGGGCCCTTGCGGAATCGAGTACCCCGGAAAAATCGCGATTAGCCCTCCAAAAGCGACGAATCTTATCACAGAATCACATCCCGGGCTTTGACCCACAGCCATTTGGGTGCGGATCGTGGAAACCCTTGCCCTTCCAGCCACCCTGGTAGGTCATGTCAGTCACCTCGTAGTCTATTCGGTTCATTTTCTTCAGATGCTTTGATCCTACATACCAACACCCCGGTACCCCTGAAAGGGATCTGGGCCGTTAACGCGACTCATGCGCAAGGGTCGATCGGTGTTTTGACCCACTGCCATTTTTGGACGTCCCGCATACAAACCAACTGGAGAACCGCATGGTGCTTAGAAACGACATCAAGCCAGAAGGAAAGGAACATCCTTCCACGACCCGGGGAAGATCATCTTGCGGGCCTCATCACTGAAAGCAGGGCAACGCAGAGATTCTCTTGAGCTGGCGCGAGCGCGTGGCGCGCAGCAAAACGCGTGCCACTTGGCGCTGTTGGCGCCTCGTGCAGGGATGGGCAGCTGCGTCGGAAGTTCTGCAAAGCTTCCTGGCGCATTTCATCGATTTCATCAGATTCACGGAAAAGGCAGAGTGAAGGCTTCAATGCTCTCAGCTCAAACACCTAAGTAACAAAAACACCGACAGGTTCATCAAAGCGATGCTGGAATGCCTCCCCCCGCCCTGCTTCCTCCAAACCCACCCACTCATGGGCGGCAGTAGCATTGTCTGTCTGCAAGTGCAGGACTTGTAAATGAGGCAAGGCCTCAAAGGGTCCATCGATGAGGGTTCAACGAAACGAAAAACAGCTGCAGCTGGCCTTGGCTACAGGCCTTGGCTACAGCCTTGGCCACAGGCCTTGAGGGGGGACCCTGAGGACCTTGGATTGCTTGGGGGGGCTGGAGGGATTGAAAGGCTCCAGCGCATGAAAGATCCTTGCATATCTGTAGCCCATGGCATAACTACAAGATGTGCATGCAGAACAAGATCTATCTGTAGCCCATGAAAGGCAAAATGCCTTCCGAGCCCTTGAGACCTCTTCACTTCGTTTCCAAAGAAAATGGTCGTCAGTCGTTGCAGCGTTGCAGCGTCAAAACCTGGTAGAGTAATGTAGATGATGCGAAAACCAGTTTCGAAAAAATCTAAGAAAGGCCTGCCGGCTCCCATCAAACATGATCTGAAGACCCTGAAGATCAGGATAATTTTGTACACCACGACTGGTCCATGTAAAAGGTATCCAACACATGTACAGTATTTTTCCTGCCAGGCGCACATGTTGTCCTCCTGCACTGGCCACTAATTAAGGAGGCTTTGAGCATTCCCAAAGTCAGATGTGAGACTGACTAGGTGGACGAACTCATCTTTCAAACTTACCCACAAATTGTGACACATATGCCTTCTTCCAAACTTTTGCATGTGGCCCAGCATGCAAATGCCCACGTGGTTGTGGGTCGAAACCAGGATACCTTGGTTGGCCTACCTGGGAGGTCGTTCGCTGCATGGTGTTGGCTGGGGCTCCAAGCTGCGTGGCCGCCGCTGCCGCTCGTCAACCCTTTCAGCAAGCCGCGTAGGCCACGGGAAGAGAAGATCTCGGGATTCCAGTTCAAGTTTAACCTCACTTCGAGAATGAGGTGAGTCAGGTCCCGAGGGTGAAGCGACAAGGTGAGGTGCAGCTATGTTTAACCGCTGAAGCGACAACTCCTCAAAGTGTGCCAGCTTGGTTGATTTGAAGGTCAAACGGCCCCATGATCCTGTGAATCTGGAAATCATAAGATTTGTCGTAAGCAGTGTTGGCATCCGCAAACGAGAATTATGTCATCCTCTCTTCAATCATTTATAATCTTGATGATCTGGAATCGTGGATTATCACTATATATTCGAACTTGATAGTCGCTTTGGTGTAAATTGGCACGGTTCCAAGAACGGCCCCGAAGGGGGGAGCAGGCCCCAAACCCGTAACATCAAAATGACGGTGGCAGGACCAAAAGGTGGAGCTACTTCAAATAACTAGCAAAAACCTCACACCAGTCCATGTCCACTCCTACGCACCACACACCTGGTGCACTTTCGCGCACGCCCGAACAAAAAGACGAGCTCATGCTGAAAACGCGCTGCTGGCGCGTGGCTCACGCAGGCAAGGCAAATGTCTCAGCCACCTGAGACGTCTTCGATGTCCCTCACTTTGGGTGGTTGTGATGTCTCACACCCAAAAGAGATGGAATCCCGTCCATCCCGGTCCCAACAAGAATCTTGGAATTCATCACTACTTGGTGACACAAAAAGTGGGTACGAACAGGCTGGTACGAACAGGGAGGTGTCTGAGGTTGGGAGGCCCGTCCCTTGCCAAATCGTCGAATCTTGGAATCCAACCCTCTCATTCAGAGATGCCACAATGATTCAGAGGTGCGAACGGCACAACCTGGCAGTTCTGGCCACCTGTCAACTGAAGTGTAACTCTCGCCTGCCATGAGAAAAGGTGTCTCATTTCACCACCTTCAGCATTCAATTAGGTCACTTTCATGCGTGCCAAGTCGTTGGTGTCCAGAAACTCTTCGGCGTCGCCACCCCACCCCACGGTGTTCCACGCCGTTCCACGCCTCCCCAAGGGCTCTCCAGCCTTGCCGGACACATCGCAGTGTTTCAGCACCTCGGCGCGCGAGGTTGGCGTGTGAAACCGGTCCCGAGCACGGAAGACCTCGGCGTGGCAACGAGCGTCTGGGTTCGGTTCGGTAGTCTTAGACCAGTCTACCCAGCCAGGGCCAGAGGAGGGAGACCCCTATTCAAATACACGCCGTCGCAGATGTGCTTCAATTCCTGGCTGTTCATGAAAAGGGATTGATTTCTTTGGAGTTATTGGCCAGAAGCTGGCCCAACCCTCATCCCAAAAATGAACCGAACAAGGCGAGTCTCTGGTCATTGCTCTGAGGATGTATATTGTGTCACCCATGGGCCCATCAAAGGAAAGGCCCAAAACCGGTGAACCCTTGTTTTTGAAGGGAAGGTTGACGAGCCCAATCTGCCAAACATTCCAAGGACCACCTAAGGTTTTGAGGGTCTGGACATGCCAAGGACCAGGCGGGAGAATTCCACGGATTCTTGGAGCCCATTCCACATTGGGAAACATGTGTTCTGTCCCTAAAAAACTCCCTTTTAGAAAAGTCTCTGGATCATTTTCCAGAAGACTCCCCGGCTTGAAGAGATCAACGCATGCGCGTTAGTGTTCTCCCTACTCATGAAGAAACCTTAGCCTTGTCGGTGCCGAGTCCGCCATGGCCAGGATCTCATACCTATCCAGTTTGAGTATCTGAGAAGGAAAGTGTCATTGACCGGGGTATCGAGTTCTGAGTTCTTGCAGTTCTCTGGAGCACCTTGCCCCTGCACGCCCCTCGCGTTTTGGAGAGCCAGACTGAAAATCCAAGGTGCCAAGTGTGAAATGCCACATGTCTCACCTTCCAGGGCTCTCGCCATGCCTGAGTACATTGATGTACATTGTGGAGCTCGCGAAAAAGAAAAATGATGTACAACCCCTACAGTATCTAGGTGGTGTATACACGTATTAGTATGTCAGTGTGATACAACTTGTCCCTGCCAGTTGTGGATGTTGATATAAGCATCCCAACTACATACTAGTAAATGGAACGAGGTAAAGATCAGGCATCGAGTCGTGTTGCAGGGTTCTATCACAACACGGTCGGTTGCCTCTTCAGCTATATAACCTCAATGGTGAGGACTGACGGACCCTGTGGGCAGTACGTCCAAATATCTCAAGGAAGTAGCAGTGAACACCTCATTCGTAAGGGAAGCTTCTGCGTTTCCTCCGTCCAGATCCCAGCAGTCAACCAAGCCATGCGGATGAAACCGGCAATTGGATGAAATCCTTTGGGCCGTCTCCCTATGTTCAGAGAAGCCGATCCAACAGGACAAGATCTGGCAGGCTAGTTGGATATGTTGGATATTTCTGCCCAAAGGGCGTGCTATCCATTTGGATCTTGCTCTTTCAATGGCAGCTTTCAATGGCAGTTGATCCACTCCCACAAAAACTGTCGCCTTCCAAGGCATCTCCTGTCATCAGCTGCTCATTGAAGCTCAGGTTCAGCGTCTGCGGAAGAAGACATGACTCCAACCCGTTGGGCCTTCCATTCCAGAACATAACTAGTACAAGAAAGTTGAGACATGGTATCACAGCTCAACGTGTATCACAGTCAAAAGCTCCTTTTTCTTGAAACGCGATTTACTTGGTTCACTTTGGTCCAAATAGCTTGTATTAGCATGTGCGCCATGAGGATGAACTGCCATCTGCCCTCCCTGTCCTCCTACAGTTCTTCCCTGTGAATACACTGATAGTCCTGATAGCAAGTTGGGAACTCCATCATCTGAGAATTCCGACCCAAAATGCCGGAGTACGCGAGAAATGTCCTCCCACTGTCCCTCAAAAAAGCACGTATATACTTCGATATGATCCTATATACATAATATATAAGAATATGGGTGTGGGTCAAACAGGCAGACCTCCCAGTTCGACCAAGCAGCGAAATAGACCAGTCTGCCCATTGAACCAGTTGCTCTCCCTATTAAAATACAAAGCCATATGTGATCCCCCTGGACTTTAGAGCCAATTCAGCCCTTCCATAACCAGCTAACAGTTTCCACCGGACTTCAACGACCTCCGGGACTTTCACACCGGATCTGCGGGGTGGGAACCCACCCAGCCCGCCTCCAACGAAGGCATCCGCTTCAACGCACACAGCTGAGCCAAAGCGGGTGCTTCGGGCTTTGAGAGTTGGGCCGCACAAAGGTCCAAGAGCCTCGATTTCGAAGCGGCCGCGCCGCGCGGTCGCGCGGTCACGCCAGATGGAGGAGTCCCAGAAACGTGGTGTTTTTTCCAAGGAAACCGAACAAGAATGCCCTGGGTGTTTTTCCCAGCACCACAGAGTTCGGGTGGTTCTTAGATGGAAAATACCTCGGAAACCAGGTGTCTACAAACCACTACAAATCCGTGGTGCTGGTGCATATTATCCTACATCTAATAATGTAATAAACTAATTATACATATATGAGAGTCAAATCCCCTACAAGAAGGATGATCCTTCCCCAGGTTTTGGGGGGCAGAAAACTCTGATCGTCCCGATGTTTCGACTGAACGGGCTGATCGGGATCCGGTGTTTGATCACTCTCCAAACCATCACCGGTGTAAACGTCCCACCAAGACGAACGGAGAGATCAAACCCCAAACCTTGATTGCGCCTCACAATGAGATTCGTTCGTAGTCTGGATCTTGCCCTACTGGGTGTGAACGTGGTCACCCCTGATGCCAGACCGTATCCTCAGTACCAATCAAAACACGAACAGGTCATCTTGACAGGTTGGATCTCGATGGAAACCCACGCCCCCTTAACCTGTTCGGATGGGTCCAACGTCCAAACTGACCAAAAAGAACGGCTTCGAGGCTCTTGGCAGCCGGTTTTTGTAGCCACCGCGGATTCTTGCTCCGTGATGTGTATGTGTGGCCTGTGGAGATGCTGGACTTCAACATGAATCAACACACTTGGGGGGATACTCTGAAGTCTTTGGTAGTAGGGTAGGGGTTTTGCAAAAACCAAGGCACCTTAATGGCAGTTGGCTGTGTCTCACTCCGCGTAGAATGCTGCCAATGCCCGGGCTGCGCAGAAAGTCTAGCGGTTTGCGGTTGAAGCGGTTTGCGATTTGCATCGAAGGAGGTGAGAACTCCCAAAACTGGATGGTCACCTCACCATCCCCGAACTTCAAAAAACCCAAATCAACTTCCAACTTCATGCATGCAGGTGAAGTTTAAGATCCATCCTCATGGAAGTGGTTCTGTGGTTCCTCCGTTCCGCCCTCACACTCCATGAAAGTGCCGAACTCGAGGAGTGAAGACGTCAAAGGTTTTGAACACATCAACGACATCAAGTACCCCCGCCTTTGATGACCCTTTCCAGAGACTTCCCCATGAAAAAGCAATGCAAAGCCAAAGAATCAGCCAGTTGCACTGCCGGTTCCACCGGTTCGACTGTTGACGGGACTGATCGACGGAACGGTTCCAGCGCGGCCTTTGCACTCTGCGAGCCGAAGGCTGTGGCCTTGAAATCTCGGCAGCCAGCAGCCCAGAGCAAAGCCTATCAGCCCAAGTTGGTTGGAAAGTTGGAAAGTATACACGTCATTGCATAAAGTTCGATACTTCATGACATGTCCATTGATGTTTCAAGTACTTGGTTCGTCAGGTGCAAATGTCCTTTAGAAGTGTCCAATGGTGGCCCATGTCGCTCTGGACGTTTGCCGACAATGTCGCTCGTCATCGACTCGACGTTGGTTCGGTTTTCCAAGTCGGTTCGAAGCTGAATCCTGGGTGTGGGCCTTGTGGTGAGATCAAGTATAAGTACGCTCTCTACTCTCTGCGATCTTCTGCGCTCTCGGCCTTGTGATGCTGCAAGCCCCATGGAGTCGCTGAGATCAAGCATTTCAGCCTCGCGGTGTAGCAGCAGAGCCAGGTCGGGTCCCCTTCCCGGTGAAGAATCGGTCTTGAAAGACCATGAGTTGGGGCCAGACCTGTTCATCTCGGCCAAGCTGCTCTGGCATTTCGAGGCTCTGCACCAAAGATCTCAACCAGGTATCGCACCTCCACATCTGTCAGATTCGAGGTCCTTGGTCCACACAAGGACACGAGGGGGATTCACTGGAAACCCAGCAGTCGGCTCCAGTGACTTTCTCCCATGTCCTTGCAAACCAGCTACCAAACGTTTGATGCCTACAGGCTGTGGAATGCTGTGGAGATTTGAAAGGTCCCCACATGTTTCGAGCGCTCAAAATCTCAAACACACCGGCACTCCACAACTGGCACTCGGCGCAACCCTACGAATCTTCCGTCTGTCACACCCCCAATGTTGGGTCGAAACCGCCCCGGTCCAACGTTCCGTTTTCTGCGCTTCTTCGCCTCACCTGATCCTCTCTCCCATCAGGTCATCCAATGGCAACCTGCGAACCCGGCCCCGTCGGACGTCGTCCCCGGTCCCTCGTCCCTCGACGTGGAACGTCCTGCGTATCCAGGGACAAATGCGACGGACGGACCGGGCGCCAGGCGCTCTGAACAAGAGATCACCAGGAACCAAGGGCCCTGGGTGTGGGAACAATGTTGCTGAGGAACTCCAGATGAATGTGCTGAGAACTCCGCTGTGAACAAGAAGGGAGTGGACTATGATAGCTGGCCGGCGCCACCTATCCGGGAATTCATTAGAAGAAAGACCAGGGATCACGCTTTTCATGATGCAACTCGCCAGACGTTCCCGGCGGTCTCCGCCTTCTCAACTTCTGGCAAATGCTTTTGATAGCCATTCGCAACTTTGGCGCATGGTGTACCTGCCGACCAGGACGCTTGGGCTCTACATGGCAAGCATGAGGACCACTTCGAAGTTTCCTGAAAAAGTTCTACTTCGCAGCAATTGGTCAGAAAAATGGACCATTTTGGTGTTGCACCTCGGTACCGCCGAAGCAGGATGAGATGGATGATCATATCGTGTTGTGCACAGGTCGTGGCCTCCTCAGCTTCGTGGCCTCCTCAGCTCTTCCCTCTTCCCTGCCTGCTCCAGCAGGCCCGGCGCATGCCAGCGACGCCAGCGGCACGCACACTGCAGCGCACGCCTCACGGCTCCGGCAGTCCGTACTGTGAAAGCTCTGAGGTGGCTTCGTACGGACCTTTTTTCAGCCAAAATGGAGGGACTTAGGGACCCCACCAACCCAGAAAGGTTGGAAAATCGCTCCAGTCGAGCGCTTTTCCAAGGCGAGGCACCAGTCCAAAGGGTCCGGCAGCAGTTCAAGCAAGCTCTCCACGCCATCCTGAAACCTGGATCGCCCCGGTCACCGAGGTCCACATGAATCACCAAGGGGGATGGCTGGGAAGAATTCCGGAAGAATGCCGTGCTTTCTCTCAAAGACAAAGATTTTTACTAAGACATACTAAGACTATGTGGATCAACCACGGTTTCTTATTGAGAAGTCCATTTCGCGTGGCCAGTGTGGGACAGTCAACTATCACCCTTTGAAGTATATAACAGCTAAACAACTTTGGAGGAAGGAAACTATCACCCTTTCGGTTTTTGGCGACCAAGACTCGACACAAGTGTCGCAAACAGACTTTCGGACCAGAGCTTTCCGGGCTTTCATTCTGGAAAAAAAAACTGTTGTCCTAGTCCTGGTAGTATGTGGTGCCCTATGGGTCGAAGAAGTGATTCTTTAAGGGCCTCAAGATGGTGACCTTCGAGCAGATCAGGGGTTTCGCTGCATGCAGGAACAGAATAGCTTCGAAGCGTGGGTGCTTTTGCAGAGGAAGGGTGCCAAACCATGTCGTCTTTAGCTGGGATGTTGTTGAAGCGGCGAAGCGGACCTCAGCTGTCTCCGATGGTTTCAGTGTTGGAGAAGATGAAACTACGGACCTCAGCTGTGTAACGATCTGTCGACTTTCAAGAGGAAGCCCGTCAAGAGGACTGAAAACGCCTGTCAAACTGGGCCACGTCACAGGAGCGGCGCTACATCCAGCCACTTCGACGTCATCATTAAGCCATGGCTTGACCAGAGGCCATGGTAAACCACAGTTGAATTGGTCGGTCATCCATGGTCTCCTTCAGGTACTCGAAGCTGGTCAACCATGTCTTTTTCTCTCCCCAAGCAAAAGGGGCGAGCTGAGCTAGTTTTGAGCTACAGAAATGCGAGCACTTCATGCATCAGTTGGATTCCGTTCTTCCATACCGTGACCTGCTTCCGTTCACACTGCACATGATCGAGGGGACTCAGTCACCAGTCGCGTTCCTCTCAACGCAGCCTCTCTAGGTGTCAAACCTCTTTGGGCACTCGAAGCTCAGTAAAATAGTAGTCCTGAGAGGCCCAGCGGCATTTTTCGGAGGTTCGACTTGAGAGGCCCCTCTCGTTCCCCCGATCGGGAAGTGCCCTTTTGCAAGCGTGCGAAGAAAACCTATCCACAGGTGGTCTCCCAAAAAAGGCCCCCATCGTACTGAATGAAGACGTAGCATACAAAACTGGAGAACGTTCTTTGCTAGTCAGGTCTGGTGGTTCCTTTCACCTCGACCATGTCTCTCGGATCTATGAGAAAGAACCTCGATTGCCAGGAGCCCAGCCGGCAGCGGAAAGAACCGCAGGATCGGCCTCGCTTGCCGCGAAGGATCGGCGACAAACAGCGAGCCGTTTCTGGATCCAAACCTTTGGATTTGATCCAAAGCAAACGAAGCTCAACGGTCTGTTTGGTCCATCCCTCTCTCAAGCAGGCAATGCCTCATCAAGAATTCCGGATCGCTGAGAAGGTCATCGTTGTGACCTTGATGACAAGTAAGGCTTGCTCGGGACCAGCTTGAGATTTGGATTCCTTCTGTAGCACTACTGTATAAATCTGTATATGTTGTTTACCTCTATGCACACAAGCGTTGCTCAAAAACGAGTATGTTCTCACCGTCATTCTCAGTCTTCCCTCAGCGATCGGCGAGCAATCCCTAAGTCCTGGACTGAGAGTCGTATCTCTTCAAATATATTCGGAGCCCGCTTCAGAGCTGACAGTCTCCGGCCGCTTGGCCTTTCCTCTGGGTGAACAAAACCGACATCTGCTGAGAAGTGGACCCATCTCTTCTGGACAAACAAAAAGCTTTTTTCTGCCTCAGTCAAGACTCCTTTCGTGTCATGGAGTAATGCACAGATCACGCACATGAATCCACAGAAACGACGTTCCTTGCAGGGAGCTCTGAAATTAAAACGTCACATCTTCAATCTCTTCAGCCTTCCCAGTTTCTCACAAAACCGGCTACCAAAAGAAACCGGCTGCGACGTCACCGGAAGTACATGGAAGTACTGACTGCGTCGCCAAGTGACTTGGGCAGGTTTCGAAGAGTTGCTGACCTGACGGCGTTGCGGGGCGGCTCGGGACGAGGCGAAAGCCGACGGAAAGAGGTGGAGGAGGTCGAGGTCCGGGGGTGCCTTGTTGCCACCGTTTTGACAATTCGTCCAGTCGTCAGAGCGCTGTTCAAAGGTTCACCTGCGCCGGTCATTCCGGTCATTCCGCTCGTGCCCAGCAATGCCCAGCATACACAAAATAGAGTCAGCCTCCAAAAAGTGAGCTCCACCCTCTTGCCACAAAGAAGTCCAAGCTTCGGTTGTCCCCGCCCCATCCAGTGACCCCCCTCTTCGAAGCAGTGAAATGTGTTCTTTTTGGGGCACCTGGGCATCATCATTACCATGTGGGAGTTGCCCCCAGGGCGATTCATCGAACTTCACCCGGCGCAGTTGACTGCAGCTCACCCACCCGCGACTCGCCCCCAACGCTCCACCCGCCTTGAGAGCAGTCGATGAGTCGATCTTTTCGGCCATGGATCACGAGGGTTGGCACCTTCCAGGCGTCGCGCGTCGGCGCGGAAAAAGACGAGGAGCGGCCGCCAGCGAGGCGAAGAAGACCCGAGTCCGCAGCGAGAGTGAGAGGCCACAGGGAAGTTGTTTTTAGAGTCGGTTACCACAGGCCAGTATAACTCAGTGTCTCTTGAGATCTCTTGAGTGTGTCTTAGAACCCTCTCACAAAACATCCAAAAAAACTGCAGTGTTCAGGTCACGACTCTCATAAATCAGGATCCCCGGTGGTTCCTGCCGAACAAAAAATGAAACACAGAACGCGCAGCTTTTCTTCATTGCTTCTTTGTCTGGCTCGGCAGCATCTCCTCGTGAGGTCAAGGAGAAAAACTGGCAAGTTGGTGAGGGGAAGAGGGGGAGCACCTTTCTGCTCACAGAAAGGACCGATAGGGGGCCTTCATCAATGCTTCAGCACGTTCAAACATGCTAATGCTTAGCAGTCTCCTGAGGACTCTGTGTTGCTGCCAAAGAGCTTCGCGTGCCATTCCTGCTTGGCCGGATCTGCCCACAAATGAAGAAATGCAGAGTTCCAGACCAGCTAGCGGCTCATATTCAGTACTGTGTAACTCTTCAATTGTTCCCAACTCTTCAACTCTCCATACCCACCGAGGCCCTGGCTTCAGGCTCATCTGCCACACAAAACCTCAGCTTCAACACAAGCTCCGAACTCGCCCCGGTGGGTCGACCAGCTCGCCTTCCATAGGCCCAGACCAGCTTGCTCCGGTCGATGGGGACCTTACATCGAAGCGACGAACGCAGCTGAGCGATCTGCGGACGGTGCGTGGTTCGGGGTCAGCAAGTGTTTTCTGACATTTGCGGCACATAGGTAGAAAGCATAGCACATGGACAGAGTTGCCCAGCACACGGCCTCCTCTGTGTGCCAAGTGGAGTTGAGCTGTCGTCATGCAAACAAAGACGAAACAATGAAACTGAGTGTGCAAATGTTTCTGTGGCGGATCTGGAGTGGACAATGCCAATGATGCTGGTGATGCGTCTTCATACCTTGTAATTATTATTGAGCATCACATCTTCCATGTGAAAAAAGTGCTCTTGCCACAGTCGTGGTCTGTGGACTCTTCAATTGATTAAGCCTCTTTTTAGGGTTGGTGAACGTTGTGGTCAGCAACCATCGTCAGTCGAGCCAGGTCCCTGCAGCGTCAGGTAGCCGTGTTGTGCCAAGGCTCCAAGGGAGTGCAACGAATGAGCCGCCAAATCAGCAACACACCGCCCTGCAAAGCACCATATCGCTTCACCGCCTCGATGCCATACCTGTCGAAGCATTCTGTCCAGGGGGCTGACCAAATCGGTGTGGGATTCGGCCCCTCCAATCTGACAAAAGGTGAAAGGGAAGTCTAAAAGGAACAAGGTTGCATAAATGTTCATCCCGAAATAGCTTTCAATACTTTAACCCCTTTGCACGAACTCCCCACCCCACCACAGCAGCCACCGCAGGATCACCCCAGAATCTTCCGGAACCGACCTGGAGCAGCTGGGCGCGTATCGGCAATTGGGCGGCAGCAGCGGCGAGATGAATTGCCGGTACAGGCGCAAGGCACCCAGGACGATCTGCGAGTCCCAGCCCAAACGCTCGTCTTGACCAGCGACGGAGCGTGCAACACAGTCCTCTTCGTCCTCAACGCGTCAGCCCGATGACTCAAAGTGGCCAAGATCTTGGGGTTCTACACTCCGGGCTGGTATGAGAATGACTTGGAGTTGCAAGTCCTTGGCATTTCAGCCCACCCGATGGAACTCTTCATTCAGCAATTGCTGCTGTGAAGAAGATTAGAAGCAGGCAACTGCAAAGTATTCTGATGCCATATGTCAGTTTTTGAAAGCTTCATGTATAGTAGCTACGAAAGCCTCATGTATATAGGTTGTTTCTTGACTGGAACCGTGACGCCGTAAAGGTACAGACTTTGTGCCAGCATAGAGCACGTGTACTAGTTCTAAAAACTATATCTGAGGTTGGGTTCTACCAACTTGCGTTAAATATGCTTCGGCCCCGTGGTGTGCAAGCTCAAGGGTCTTCATCCTGACTGGAGTAGTTGGCGGCAGTTGGCTTGTCTCAATATGAGGGTCTCATCCTTCTTACTGGTCCTCTTTCACTTAGAGTTCAGGGCTGAGATTCCTTCAGGCGTGCTAACAGTCCCAAATCGAATCTCCGGTCTCCTCTTCAGCGCCTCGACGTCTCACACGACGGCCACCGCGAAGGACCCAAGCAAAGAACAGCGCGCGGACCGTGACAGGGAGCAGGGGAGTCCATCTTGCAGGAGCCGGGCGGTTTTTGATCTTCTTGAAGAAGAACCCAAGATTTTCTGGGATTCAGGGATTATATACCCCTATCTGCTGCAAATACCCACACTCTAAACCGTGGATGCACAAGGATTGGGTGTTTATCCTGTAGGGTCTCCCCAAACTTCACAAGATTCGTTCCACCCACAAAGCAGCTAGGTGCAAAATACAGCGGACCATCTAAACATATCTAAACCCACCTTCGCTGCAATGACAGTACGGCTCAATCAACTAAAGGCAGCAGCTGGGGCATGCCCATCCGAAGAGATTTCCAGTCGCAAATTCTGCCTGTTTGGGTTCCAAAACTCTGCCCATGCCCAGCCAGGCCTAGCAAGGGAGGGTCCCAGTCGCTGTCGATCGTCGCTGTCGATCGCGACGATGACACGCCCTGAAAGCATCCGAAGATGCGATTCTCATCGATGACGCTGGCACCCCTACTTGTCTTAGACAGATGAGGGTCGAGGCTCCAGATGTTCGACTCGGACGCTCCACCTCCGTTCAGCCCGGACGCCACCCGCTTCCGTCGCCTGCGGGTGCCGCGGTGCCGCGGCCACTGCGCGGGGTGCCGCGCGGCGTTCCGCCGGGGTTCGCCACGACGGCGCCCTCCAAGCGCGCAACGGCTCCATGGCGGCAGGGCGGCAGGAGTCCGAGGTCGTCGACCACGCATGTGGCCACGCTGGGATTTCCCACTCGCAGTTGGGATGAAATAGGGTTCTTACCCAAAATGACTCTCTCTCTCTCTCTCTCTCTGGTGAGTGGATCGCAATGGGACCTTCTTGCAGCCCTTCTTGTGGCACGTGAGCAGCAAGAGTCTGGTCACTGGTCACATCTTCTCTGTCTGGTCAAGCCTACTTTGGCTTCTGTTTCATGAAGTTCATGTGGAGGCTCAGGATGGCTGAGAGCCAAACACCTGCGGCAGAATGGATATGCATTTGCTCGTTCACGTGCTTGTGGAAAGCAGAGCTGAAGCATCCTCCACTGGCTCGAAATGTATCCCCAAGCAGGATCAAACTAGTTCCTGCCTTGACATGCTTGATCCGGTCTTTGTTGCAGAACATCTCATTTAACATCATTTCTGAAACTTTGGCTCCTATGTACCTCAGGTCGCACAGGTTCAGAGGCAAGAAGAGCTAAGAGGACATACAGTCTGCACATCAGCATGAGTCTTCTACAATACTGATGAACAAACTCCCGGACCGGACCATAGACAATCCAAAAAATAAGAAATCAACAAGGATGCCGGCAAAAGAAAGTCCTATTAGTTGATGTACGTCACCCATTGCAGTCCACGCTGCTGGCCAAGCGCATCTCGAAGGCTCAGAAATGGAGCAATCAGCACAAGGCCACCAAAGTAAAACTTCTCCGCCTTGACCGAAGTGCTATTAGTGACAAGTGCATCGCTAGTAGTAACAAGTGCCTTACTAGTAGTAACAATGTTTGCTATTAGAAACATGTCCTTCAATTCCTTCTTTTCCTCTTCCACGACACCGAAGACCGAAGCATTCTCCCACCCGTCTCTGGTCTCGATGGTGATGTGTCAGGTATCTCTCTTTCGATGAGAGTTGAGAAGAAGAAGAAGAAAAGAGGAAGAATCTCTCTTTCGATCTCTTGTCCACAAACTATCACAAGGAACCAAAATGAACCAATCTAATCCAACCACGGTGCCAAGAACAAGGCAGCAGCTGCTCCCATGCTCCGGCCCATCACAATGATGTCAGCTGGCGCAACTTGCAAGACCTGCCCAGCGCCGACCAGATGCGAGGCACAGGTCAGACGAGCCACGAAGAGATGCGACGTCGCGTGTCTCACGCATCGTTCGCGTGGCCTCGCGCACATACCGGAAGGAGAGCTCGGCGGCGGAGAGCAGGGTCTCCTGAGAAAACGAAGCCGGATGTTTGCCCGTCAAAGAAAGCAAACAATATCTAGAGATTTGTCGCCAGAATCCAGAAAAGCATATGCTTGTGGCTCATGTCGCTCCCTGTCCCCGTAAACACCTGAGAGCCTGCAGGTGAAACTGATGGAGTGTGTGGTTCTGACAAACAGCCACTGAACAGAGTGGTTCCTTGTCCGAACTTGAAACATGGGTTCGGACGTTGAAGAATGAACGACTTCCTCTCTGGATAGTGAAGAAACCTCGGAGAAAACCAAGATGAAACCAACAACGGTCCTGCAAAAGGTGGGGCTGGGTGTGTGTTGGAATAGGAAGACCTCCCCACCAATCATTCTCGATCCATCTGACCATTCAGCCGGTATCTTTGCAACGATCACCCTACTTACCCCAGCTGAGTTCACACAACATTGACATTTATCCATGGGTTATAGAGCCCATCCCTCCTCAGAAGGCTTACCGGAGCAAAGCCCATAGCCAGGGTACTCCACGGCAAGCACGTGAACCTCGAAAACAGACCCAGTTGCAGTTTTTTGTTCAGCTAAATGGCTGTTGTCAGAGATCTTGAGGCCTCCAACAAATCGCGCAATCTACTAGCAAAGGTATGGCACATACCAATGTCCTGCAGGACAGTCAGAGCGGTGGAAAATGTCGACACTTTCACAGAAACTGACGGTGATGTCCTCCCCATTGCTGTGGAGGAAGAGAATAAAATATCTGGCATGGAGGCCTCAGGTTGGTTGCGGAGCTGAAACAGGCATAAAAAAGGCAACCGCACAAATGCCGCACAAACATGGTTTAAATCTGCTTTGGAAACCGATCAATTCAAGCACAAATGGATCCCTGACAAGATCAATGTCTAAAAAAAACCTCTATGTTTCCCTATCATAAGGTTCTTTAAATCCCCTTTTGAATTCACTTTTAGAGCCACACAGTTGATCAAAATGGCCGGCAAAGCCGTGCCCTTTTCACCTCAGCGGGTCTTTTCTTCGTAGTTTTCCACACCGGGTCGGCATGTTGATACCAAAACAGGTCTCAGAAGGATTACAAACCTTAGAAACATGGTCTGTCCGAAGAAACTAGAGGAAATGGATGGAAATGGTGCATCCACCCAAAATTCCGCGGCATGTTATTGGTTTTCTTTGGGATTCCCTCAAAACCCCATGGGTGCGCCTGTGGTGCAGGTGGCTCTGCTCAGTCGTCTGAGTGCTGGGCACTGCGCATAATCCAAGGATTGTGGTATCCAAAGCAGCTCTCCGGGGAAACTGCGAGGAACTCGCTTAGCACTTCGAATCGAAAGTGTGTGCACCCTCATGGTGTTGGAAGTGCGATATCGATTGGAAAACAACCAACACAGCTGTGCCTTGTCGCAGTATAGGACCTTCAGAAACATTTGTTGAAACTGCAAAAAAAACACTCATCAAGAAGTGAATGTCAAGTGATCGCATCTTACCTGAATTTAATCAAGCCCATACACATGTTGTCAAGTCATTATGTAACATGCCACAAGTTCGGAGGCCAAGCCACGGATTCGGCGCAGGGAAGAACAAGGAGGAAAAAAATCGCATCAGCTACCCCAATCGCACCAACCGTTCGGCGTTTGACAGTGCAAGTTGACGAGAAACTAGGTCAAAATCGTCACCATCAGTGAAACACTCTGCCAAAGACATCAACTTGAGCATTGACTGAATTCTATTGCCAAAAAGAGCCAAAAAATGCTGCAAAACAGCCGAAACTCTTCACTTGCTAACTTCACATGCTCTACCCATGCATGTGGGTTTGTATCGTAACACTCCTAGCTGGTCGCCTCCTGTGATCCGATGCCCAATGAATGACAAATCAGAACCAAAGGCTGTCCTCAAATGTCAAATGACATCTGTGTTTACAGGCTTGGCCTACTAAACCAAATCTCCGTTATTTAAGCCATGCACACTGTTTTGGGCCGCAACGCTATGGTAGGAGGTATAATTGGCACTAGTGCACAAACGCATCCATGGCGCCGCGATGTATTCCGACCCCCAACACCCCGTCTGCATTCAAAGCGCAACGTGACTGCCTATCATGCCTGCCCATCCTTTGGCAGGGTTTGTCTTACGCTGGGCCATGTTGAAATCGTCCACATAGACCAAAGGATGAGAACCAGTTCATGGTGCCTGAAAATTGACTGCCACATTTTGGGAAGGATTTGTCTCCGTCCTTTTTGGTCAAGCTGGCATTGAGGCGCTTTTTCCAGATACATACACTGCCAAGACCATTGGCACTATTGGCTTCCAGCATTTCTCTTTCCAGTCTTTCAGTCATTGATTGCGGGGCAACTCCAACCATGTTGGTATGCGGTTGAAGGCAACCTGAACATAAGATTGTATTGCATCAGTTCGTTCTTTACCGTAACCAGGTCGGCATCCGAAAACATCAAAGGTTTGGTTCCATGGAAACTGGGTTAGACTTTGTCCCGGTTCCTTGTGTCTTCAACTTGATCCACTTTAGATCCAATGCGGCCTGCGCCTTAGGCGTCTTCGCAACCTCTCTTTTAGAAACAAGTTCGTTTAAAGTAAACCACATTTCAATGTCTTGCCCGAGTTCTATTCTTTGATTTGTTGTTGGATGAGCTGCGGTAGTGAAAGCCGGTGTTCCTGTGAAAAATTTACTATCTTAGGCAAGTAGATTTCAAAGGTTTTACGCACAAGAGACAAAAGCACAGCAAATGCATCGCAGTCTTGTCTCGCGCACTTGAGCCAAGCAAGCAATATTTTTTCATGAGCTATGCTTCAAAAACGTGTTTGCACGCGTGGGGCTGCCGTCATCGCAGGAGTGCGAAGGGTCAGCGGTTGCAGATAGATGTCCTGCCAACACAAACAAACAAAACCACCCACCAAAGCAGAACCAAAACAAACCACCACAACCAAAGAACGAATCCAGGAAATCACAGGACAATTGGTGATTTTACAATCCACAGATCGATGAATTAAGGTGTGAAACGAAGGTGAAACATCAAATCCTGGGCATGGATGAATTGCAACCTGCAAGAGAATCTTGGACTTTGTTGTGCGACGCACAGGAACGGCATCCTCCACAGGAAATTGGGCAGTGCCAGTGCCTCGTCCTGGCAGTTGTTGGGCATTTTGATCACAATTGCCACCAAGGCCGAGAGGTGTTTGCAAAAACACCTGCATTGCATGTCACATGCAAACATTTCAACGAAGGCAGCAACGACTTGCAAGGTTTTTGGGAAAGTTCTTGGGAGTCGTTGAGCTGTGTCATCAATGTCAGAGAACTCACTGGCTCTTTTAGCGCTCCTCCATTTGGCTGGAGAAGAGCAAAGCTCAAGGGCAACACACGGCTGCGCCACTTGTCATGCACATCAACACGCCTTGACAGTGCCTGTCAGCACAGGCGAAGATCGTTCATTGCAGGTGGAGAGATCAGAGAGACCAAGTCCACAGAATCACGAAGCAGAAAGTAAAGACACCAATTTATGTCAATTGCCCAACGCCAAGAAGGAAGATGAAATCAATCTCCCTCCAATTGGTCTGGACAGACTTTTGTTCAATCGCCTTTGGAGAATGCGGCCAGCACCTTGCTGCGCTCTTCGCTCTGTCATCTTTCCAAGTCCGAACACGAATTCCCCGAATCTTGCCATCAACAGTTTCATGTGCTGTCGCTTGTATTGCTCTTGTGCTTGTAGAATCTGTTCAAAAGAAATAGACTCCAGAACCAGAGTGCCAACTCTGCAAGGATCTCTCGCTGGATGTCTTGGGGCAGAAATGTTCCACATTGGTGATGATTGATGTTCTCCGTGTTCATTGGAGTTGAATCATTTGGATGATGTTTGCTTCATTATGGACAGTGAACCTGCAACATTGGGACTTTTGGACATGATCGTGATGCACTTGCTGTGAACATCAAGGACAAGATCCATGAGAACTTCACTACCTGCGTGCATGGCGTCGACCCAGCGAGCAGTGCATGGACCAACCCCTGCAGTGAGTTGCTTGTGCTTGTTGTTGTTTGTTTTGTTTGGTTTGTGTTCAGAAAGGGAGAGAACCGGACTTTGACACTGTAGTTTGTTTCTTGAAGTTTTGAAAGAGTGCTTCAGCGTTTTCGGGTGTTTAAAGTTTTTTGTGCACCGGAGAGAGAGAGAGAGAGAGAGAGAGAAAGTAATGGCACAAATGCATCTGACAAACCGCTGCCAACCTAGCGGCACCGACATTTCACAGCGCCCAGTCCCTCTCGCACGTCTCACGCAGGAAGCCTTGATGCGTGCGTCCTTTATTAAGGAAGCAGCGTGGCAGATTCACAGTATCTTGCAAACAGATGATCTCCCAATGGCCCCCTCTGCCCTTCAAGAGGCTTCGGCCGCTAGTTGGGCCATATACTCAGAGATGGACGAATTTGAGGCCACGGTACATCCGAACTAACGCGCGGATCGAAGTTCCCAGGCCACCCATTGGATTGACGCCCCGACTATGGCGCCGCACTGATGGAGGACTGCCAAAAACTAGCCAAAAAGCTTACTGGCATGCGTCTCTCACATGCGCAATGAAGTGCATTCAATTTGAATTGTCACGACCAACTGCGCAAACCGAATCGTGTTATCACAGTGTTGTCTAGGCTCTTTGTTCCTGTGTGGCTCATTGGTTCAATTCTTCACGTATTACCTTTGGCTCGAGTTTTGCCCAAGTTTCACGAAAGTTCATACATTTTCAAGCAGACGCAGTGAGACAATAGGGTGAGGTTGACGCATGGCTCTATCTGCCCTTGTCGGTCCTCATCGCTGCGAGCTTGTCTATAATCCTGATGGGCAGCCTGTCATTGAGCTCTCTCTCCGAGTTTGCCTCCCTGTGGTTGACCTCCTTCATGCTCTTAGCCAGCTTGCCCCCTTGCCCAACCGGTATGGATACGCTAGGGACTCCAGCAGCTGAAGCAACCCCGCCAGCGGTAGGGGGACAGCAGACACGAACCATGCGCCCTTCCCCCCAAACCCCCTCTGCTCCTCATTGCACACCATTAGGCTCAGCGTCATCCTCACTGCCATCGCAATTATGCCAGGCGAACAGACCTAGCCACTCCTGGGAGCACAGTCACACTGAGAAAGGCTTTGGGCCACCTGCGAGCACCTCCCCGATGGAGGACCCTACCCATGACCGCCTGCTCCGGGCCTTGTCGGTGAATCTAGACGAGCAAAGGCCTAGTGGCCCGCCGCCTAAAAGTGCTTTCGCGCGCAGGGAGCGGGCCCACCAGCACTTCTCGCAAGCCAGCTCCAGTAGCAGCAGCGCCGCACTTCCTAAGCGGGCCGCCAAAGGAGTTCGTTTTGACAATTTTGACAATTTGCCTGCCAGCGCCCCCCCTCTACGGCACCCCGCCCGTTAGGCACAAAAGTCCATGACAACGACGCTGACTACGAGGGCCACCCAAATCCGCACTTCCACCCGCTGCCCCGTGCTGAGCACAACAGAGCAGCACACCCCAAGAAATGTCCAGTGCAATGATGACCAGGCAACATCCCCCTAGCAAGCTAGTCTCCGCGGTTTGCCCACAGTCCACCTAACTGCTTTCTAAAGCTCCTTCGGTGGTTCGGATTGGCTCTCGGGCTGGGTTTAGGTGATGATACTTGGCTCTCGCCTTCTGTTGAGACAAAAAGTGCAACTTGGGTCACACTATGGTTGATTTCTGAGTTTGATCACTTAGATCACTTAGACCAAATAAGCGGGTCATGGCGCAGTCCGCGACAGCCATGATGACGTAGCCCATCCTGTTTGCCATGCATGCCACATATATAGGCATTTTAGCTCATGTGACCTCTCACCTGCCTGCTTGTCACATGCATACCACTTAGCGTTCGGCTCACAGGGACCTTCGCATACCTCACATACCACGGCGTGCGCTCACGCACGCTCGTGAATGGCTACCGCGCGGCATCTGCCAGTGCCGCCCTGGGAAGAAGAGAGGACGCAAGAGCCCGTGTCCCTCAATGAGGGGAATCGAATATTTTTTTGCACGAGTTCGGACGCCATGTGTGCGGTGTGCACAGGTCATCATGAGAAGGATGGAGACTCTGCATGTTTGTGAGGGAAACAACAGAAACCCAAACCAAAAAAGAGACAACAAAACCAACAACAAAAACCCCCCAAACCGAACCACAACACACCACCCCCAAAAACAAACTAGCAGAGTTTCCCGCTGTACTCTAAGGTGAAACCGGTGAAACATGAAAGAGTGTTCAACTGTCTACTTGGGCCTTGAATTCACGAGATTTATCCGTTATCTGCCGTTCCCACCTTTGACGCAGAAAGGCATTGACGTACTACAAACCATGCAGGCCACTCCAAGTCATGGTACTTTGTGTCCACTTTGTACAAGATTGGCTGACTACAGACTCATGCCAGGCGAGAAACTGAGGCTCTCACCTGGGTGCCAATCGTCTACTGCTCTACCGACGCGTGCCGAACACCGGCCAGGAGCTGAGGCTCGCAACCAGGTCAGCTCACTTGCGGCGAAAAGGTGCAGACACCGTTGGCAGAAACTTGGTCAGCTCCAGTTGAACATTATTTCTTCACAGGAGACTGGC